ACACACACACACACACACACACACACACACACACACACACACACACACACACATCACGAGTTTGTATCTGGAAATCATGCTCAGCTCCTACCACTGTGCTTCAGTCAGCTAGAGCGTGGACAGCAAAGATTTATGTTTTCAGAGTAAGGAATCAGGACTCAGCTGGGTGTCTTAATTATAAAATCTACCTTTGAATGATGTCATTTTTTAAAAACAATTCTCAGGAAGCAGTCATAGAACTAAAAACCTCAAAAAATGATAGCTATTATTATAAATGAACTATAAAAATGACCAAATATGGAAATTCCTATTTTGTATGGAACTGCAATGTCAAATTTTTCTTAGTTATAAAATAATTTATTATATCCCAGTATATTTGGAATAGATGACTTTTTTCTGGAAATAATAATGTCATGATCTGTGACAGAGAAATATGTATGTGATTTATTACAAAGAAGTTTAACTTTCATTTCATTATATTCTGTGAGTATATCTAGTCTTTAATTAAACATGATTTATTCCAATTGAGGTCTGTTTCCATTTAGATTGCTTGCAGTGTTAATCACAGTGCAAATAACCTTCACCGCTGAAAGAACTCTTGCATTATACTGATGTATAAAGGCTTCTGTGTAATTTGCATCTGTCATCTGAGCCTACATGTTACTAGATGTGTACATAGGCAGAAATGTTTTACTTATTTGCTGCTATATTAAAGTATGTAACTCATTTAATATAATGTTTTTATTTTTATGAATTTAGATCAAGGTAGTTTTTTGGTTTAAAACAATGCACAAACAGTAGAGGATCATTTTTTTTTTTTTAATCACAAACTAAGTATGGCTAGAAAGCATTTTCATTTCAGTAAATGCAATTCCAGTTCATTCCACCTCATGTTAACCTCTGGGTAAAGGTGTGACTATTTTTAGAAACAAATGTTCTTAATTTTAATTTCCATTGTTGATGATTGTAGACCTGGTCAGATGAACAAATAAATAGAAGTTCAAAGATCGATTAGTCTCAGTTAAATTCACATTCTCATGTGTTAAGTACTACTTATCATGTAAAAACTTAGAAGAAATGAGGAAGCAAAGAACAACGGTAACTGCATATCCTTAATAGTACATATAATAACTCTTGATTATTCTCACATCATCAACTATGCAAACTTCCTTCTATTAACATTTCAAAGCAGCAAGAGCTGGGTTTGATTTTACTCATGATATAGGTCAATATTAAAATGAGAAATCTTCAGGTAAGGTAATTCTCTTACCTGAGAATTAAAACATATGTTGTACCTCTTAGCATCAAATGGGTCTCTGTCCAGCCTTCTTTGATTTATTTAAGTCCATCCCACATATGGCTTTTCTAAATCTTTCTAGGGTACAAGGGTATAGAGGATACCCTCCCAGCTGGCTCCAAGCCTTCACTGCCAAAAGAGAATGGCCAGTTCCCTCAGCTGGCACTAAGAGTTCATGGTAATCTGGTCCCTATCTACATCCTCAGACTTGGTTCCCAGCACCCCCTTCCCACTCTGTCCTCCAGACAAACTGTGTTATTTGTGTACTTGAACACACCGTCATACCATGAATGCTTCTCTTCAAAGTTGTGACTCATTCTGGACCCCTGCTTGGAAATACAATACCCTCTTCATCCTGTTTTTATTAATCCTAATTAAAACTTTCCTTCAAATCCAAGATCAAATTCTATTTCCCTTATATGCTCTTTTTCAGACATTAATTAATACTCAGTTTCTTCCCTATAAGTATATAAAAGAGTAGCTTTTTATGTCTAACTTTACAAGATAAGACAATGCATTCTTTAAGACATGAAGATTTAACTTCTTGTCAGGCTCTGACATATCTCACCTAAAACAAATTGTAGTAGATATGATATAGGGAAA